TTCCTCGTGCGCATCTGTTTCCAGGGAGACGAGAGCGCCTGCCCGACCCGGGACTTCGTGGTGGGCGCGCTCATCCTGCGCTCCATCGGCATGGACCCGAACGACATCTACGCCGTCATCCAGATCCCCGGCAGCCGCGAGTTCGACGTGAGCTTCCGTTCGGCGGAGAAGCTGGCCCTGTTCCTGCGCGTGTACGAGGAGAAGCGCGAGCAGGAGGACTGCTGGGAGAACTTCGTGGTGCTGGGGCGGAGCAAGTCCAGCCTGAAGACGCTCTTCATCCTCTTCCGGAACGAGACGGTGGACGTGGAGGACATCGTGACCTGGCTCAAGCGCCACTGCGACGTGCTCGCGGTGCCCGTGAAAGTGACCGACAGGTTTGGGATCTGGACCGGGGAGTACAAGTGCGAGATCGAGCTGCGCCAGGGGGAGGGCGGTGTCAGGCACCTTCCAGGGGCCTTCTTCCTGGGGGCCGAGCGGGGCTACAGCTGGTACAAGGGGCAGCCCAAGACGTGCTTTAAATGTGGTTCCCGGACCCACCTGAGCGGCAGCTGCACGCAGGACAGGTGCTTCAGGTGCGGGGAGGAGGGCCACCTGAGCCCTTACTGCCGGAAGGGCATCGTGTGCAACCTCTGTGGCAAGCGAGGGCACGCCTTCGCTCAGTGCCCCAAAGCCGTTCACAATTCCGTGGCAGCCCAGCTGACCGGCGTGGCCGGGCACTGAACACCCGCCTGCCTGCCAGAGTGAATACAGAGCCAGTTTACCCCTCTTAAGTGCCAAAACTTTTTTTGAAAACCATTTTCTATCGTGTTTGAAGGAGACCTTTTAAAACCTACAAGCTACATCTCTCTTTGCCTTCTTAAACTGAGTTTACTACATTTCAGCCTTTTCTGAATTGGTGACTGTGATCGGTAATGACTATCGAGAACTGTAGTGTGCAGATACGTCGCCAGTCCCTTTTATAAATTTTGTTTTCGTTTTTGTATTTGGGGATTTTTTTTTTGAACTTGTTACTCCCTACCCCTTGTCTGCTCCCTGAATTTTCACCCTGTGGGCTGCCTTGTTCATCTTTATGCCCTAACACTAGGTACAGGCGGACCCCAGTGTCTAGGTACAGGTAGACACTACACTCCATCAGTGTTTATTGACTTGAAAATATTGTTGACTGTGGCTTCTGTCGGGATGTCTATCTTTTGCAGCTCTTTTCCTCCCCCTTTTAATTTGCTGCTTCTAATCTGTGTGTTCTGAGAATTTGTGAAACCAGTGTTGTTAGAAGTGTATGTAATCTGAGTCAATAAGCTCTGAATGGTGGCCAAGGGCCTCTTATGGCATTACTATGCGTGGACTTTGTGACAGCTCTTTCGGTGGCTCAGAAGCCATTTTTCACAGAATTATGGAATCTAGAATGTTCCTGTTGGAAAGGATCTACAAATTGGTTTACACCAATCCCTTGGTTTTCCAACAGTGAAACAGGCCCAGAGAGGTTAAATGTCTGGGTCAAAATCACACCGCTGTCTGGTGCCAGAGCTAGCCTAGAGTTCCCTGACCCCAAGCCCAGTGCTCATTCCACTACCTCTCACACTTCACAACATTTTCCTCAACACTTGAGGGCCCAGAAAGTCTGATCTCTCCAGAATAATGTGCCCAGAGGAATGCTAAGAAATCATCTGGGGAAGGAGCAGAAAAAGATGACTTAGCAGGGGCTTCTGAATACTTGGGAGATAGGGAAGGAATAAAAGAACATAATCCAGGATGCGCTCGTTGCTCCCTGGGGTATCAAATCTGGATTAAAATGTGCCTGGTACTTTGGGTCCTTACCCTTCCCCATTCCTTGTCACCAGTGAGAAATGGGGGTGCTCCTGTGTAAGAAGACCTAGCAAAGGTTTACATTTGCACCTTAGCCTCTAGAGTTAGAAACCCCAGAAAAGCAGCTAATGGAGTTCATCCACAACCTCCTGACCCTCAGGAGAAAGGCTGTTTTAACCCAGAATTATAAGTGAATTGTTAACGCCAAAATGTACTTGCAAAATAGGTCAAGCGAGAGGGCGTTGGGTCAACTGTTACCAAGTTAAAGGAGAATAGACAATACACTACTTTTAGTATTTGTCTTCCCTTTGCATTAAGTTTTGCTATTTCCTTGTGGCTTGGAATGTAAAATCCATTGTTAAAAGTTTTGTTCTGAATAAATATTTATCTTTTGTATTGCAAAATACACTGCTGCGCTATTTCCTTTCAAAGTGTTAGAATCATGGGTACACAGACCCTAGTTCAAATCCATACTTCCCACACACCACTTGTTTACTCTGCAAATACAGTTCCAGCCCCTGACGGTTACATTTAGCACCTACTCTGTTGTTCCAGGCCCTTTGGAGTTGCTTCCTAAACGCAGTGTGCTAATCACTTAGCACACTTAAAACTCAAGTTTTAAGTCCCTAACTCAGCTCCAAAGAATCAGAGTCACTGGAACAAGGAAAACATTTTTAGCAAGCATCCCCAAGCAATTCTGATGGGTTTCCAGTTTTGAGACCACAGTTCTGAATGGTACTAAATGAGTGAGAGGGACTCTGCCCTTTGGAAATTACAAATCAGTGGGAAGGACAGAGGGAAGATGTCAATTTCATCATCTTACAGTTATTTTAAGTGCCAGGAATTGGATGCAAAGTATTCATGGGCTTTTTTTTTTTTTTTTTTTTTT